TTGTTTTCTTTTTATTTATTATACAATTAACAAAAGCAAAAAAGGCCTCTAACACTAGCTTGCTCTATTCTTTTTCTATTCTATGTTTCTTTTTATTTATTATATGATTAAAAAAAAAACTTGCCACGTGTACTGCATTAAGCTAACTGAGACTTGTTATAGAACTTGCTTATCATTGCTCTTTTGTTGATTTTGATTGCTTCCATTGTCCTCATTTGTAAGTCGCTTTGGATAAAAGCATCTGCTAAATGTCTAAATGTAAAGTAATGTAAATATATATATATTCTTATATCTTTGTTATTAAACAGCTCCCTCTTGTGGTTGAGAATAAGTCATAATTCTAGCGCACATGTATGGTGTGGTAATATCTGATAACAGTTTCCACCAATAGAAAAGAAAGCTCGTCACCGACAATGGCAAATCTAAGCCAATGGGATTCGTAAGAGGCGACGAATGGGCGGGACTTCAGCCATTTGCGTCCGCAAACGTTGTTGTTGGAAGAGAAGTCGATTCAAGAAGCCATTACGCTGCGCAATTGTGTCAGGACAAAAACTTACTATTTTTACGTATTCTACGTAATTTTATATTACCCCCCCTCCCCCTTAAGTCCAATTAAATACGTTATGGCATCTCAGGCCAAAAAGAGAAAAACTAATTTCTCTGAAAGGGAGGTGGAGATCATCGTGGAGGAGATGGAGAAGCAAAAACACATTTTGGTGAATCATTTTAACGCGGGCGTCACGCACATCGCCAAGAACAGCGCGTGGGTGGAGATCCTGAAGCGCGTGAATGCCGTGAGCACCTGCCAGCGCGAGCTCGCGGAGGTCAAGAAGAAATGGTCCGATCTCAAGACGGAGGTGCGGCGCAAAGTGGCCCAGGCGCGGGCGGCCATGGAGGGCACGGGCGACTGCAGCAGCGTGCCCGTCATCCTGAGCTCCATGCAGCAGCGCATCTGCAATCTGCTGGGAGAAGCGACCATCATCAGCCTCCCTGCGGCGGAGATCACGGTGCCCATCAGCTCCGCAACCGCCGCCGCGTTAACGCAAAGTAAGACACTGGCGTTACTGCTGCGTAACTTCACGTGCGTAGACTCCCACAACTGTTACACTCACTTAGGCATGCCGTAGCCAGGGTTTGGTTAAGAATTGTGTTATAGTAATAACCCCTGCAAATACAACTCATTATATACACTAACACTTTAAAAGACACAGACATGTAGATGTTTTCTCTTTTTTTGGAGGGATGAACGGGATGAAATTATACTATATTTATTGCATCAATAATTTTACTATAGGATAATTTTATTAGCTGTTTATTGATCATGCAACAGTACATATTACTGTTGTAGTTTTTATTAATAACCATTGCTATTTAGATGATAACTTTGTCTAGTGCTCTTATGAATGTTTTTTTTACTACTATACTGAATGACATAATATAGACTTCTTCATTGCTATTGTTTGCATAGGCTATTGTATTTCATTCTGTAACCTAGCTACTTGTTCTACAGATCTGTCTGTGCACTAGTGTTAAATGCTACTGTTTTTGATAGCGTTGATAACGGTTCTGAGAGATAATATCATGATATTTTTATGCGTTTCCCTAACTGAATGTGCTTTCCTGTCAGTAATAACCTGTCCATGGGCTTTTTTGAATACTGTCGTTTCAAGTGCCGGCGATGCAGTGTTGCCAGATATTCCTATTAAAAAATAAACATTTTTCAAATCTTTTGCAAATTAGATACGATAAAGATATCGCTGACCCTAAACTGCAACATCCCACTTTATTAACATTCTATAGTGTCAAATTAAAGGGATAGTTCACCCAAAAATGAAAATTCTGTCATTAATTACTCACCCTCATGTCGTTCCAAACCCGTAAGACCTTTGTTCATCTTCAGAACACAAATTAAGATATTTTTGATAAAATCCAAGAGCTCTCTGACCCTCCCATAGACAGCAACGCAACTGCAATGTTCCCAGGTCCAGAAACGTATGGGCATCGGTAAAACAGTCCCAGTGGGTCAACCGTAATTTTACGAAGCTACGAGAACACTTTTTTGTGCGCAAGCAAAGAAAACAATAATAACATAATTTATTCAACAATTCTTCTCCCCGAGTTACCGTCTTCCGCCATTTTGGAGAGTATCTACTGAACGTAAAAAAACGTTGATTACGTTCAGTGAAAGCGCGCGCATGCTGACTCTTGTTTTTGATTTTAATGTTTGTATCCTCCAGTATACGTCGCCTCTTTGGAGGTATAAATTCACTAAAAACAGAACACTTGTTTATCAATGCTAACATGGTTGTAATTCCTGAACGCTTTGGAATACAGACCTAAGGTTGGTCTCTTTTTAAAGAAGACACAAAATATTGAAATATTTTATAAAATATGTTGCACTCTAACATTTCTATAAAATCAAAGCCATATGTCTAACCAAGTTATGTTCCAAATTTGAAGTTGATATCACCAAAATTGTGGTTCCTGTAAGTTTTTGGCACTATACCAAAATAACCACTGGGTTACACCCAAACTCCATTGAATTTTTTGCTGCAGTTTTCTGTCACAATATCACTTCTATTACAAAAAAGTCACCAAATATGGAACCTTGACTGTCAGACCTTTCCAATGATATGTGTTTTGTCAAGATTACAAAAAGATTTGATTTTCTAAAACACAAGCCACAAAATCTCAGAGTCTATATATGTTTTTATATCTTGATTTATACCCCTAAAAGAACGACGTATCTCCTGAAATACAAACATTTAGAGACAGATTACAAAAAATGTAAGCATTTAATTCATAAAATTTCAATGTAAGCTTTATAAGCTAATGCTGAACAACAGTAAGTCCCCTCCAACATGTGTAAATATGTGAACTAGATCAACTTTTATCAGAGGGTTAGTAGATTTCCCACGACAGGCAGCCATGCAGGTTTAAATGCTTCCTGAGCTAAACAAAAAATGTAGTAACAAAGTAACCTTATCTAAATATTCACAACAAACACTCTTTCAAAATGAAACCAAGAAATAAAACCTCAGTACATTAAGACGCATTCATTAACAAAACTGAACATTTTTGTTCCATTTTACTGAAATGTTATGTTTAAATATGCAAACGATACATTATCTAGTTTAATATGCATTAATTTGCATAATTTTCCAGAGCTCTGAACATTGGATTAAACCAGGTTCAAAATTCGTGTTTTATTTGTTGACATATTAGAAGTAATGATTTTTTACAGAGGTAATTTTGGGTTTCTCTTTTTATCACTAATAAATCAGTTTTTTTTAAGACATAAAATGTTTGTTATGAACAAACCCATTTGTAAAAACCTTCATAATAAACTAAAGTTTGTATCTTGCAATTCTGATCTTTTTTCTCAGAATTTCAAGAACAAAGTCCAAATTATAGATATAATCTCAGAATTGCGAGAAAAAAGTCAGAATTGTGAGATATAAACTTAAAATTTGAGAAAAAGTGTCCAAATTATGAGAAAATTGTAAGAAAGAAAGTCCAAATTGTAAAACAAAAACCCAGGATTGTGAGAAAAAGTCCAAAATTGTAAGATATAAGCTCAAAATTGTGAGAGAAAAGTCCAAATTGTGCAATAAAACCCTAAATTGTGAGAAAATGTCCAAATTGCAGGATATAAACTTGAAATTGTGAGGAAAAAAAGTGTCCAAATTGTAGGATATAAACTCAAAATTGTGAGGGAAAAAAGTCAAAATTCTGAGATTGAGATATAACCACAGAATTGTGAAGGGAAAATTTTCAAATTGTGAGCTATAAAATCAAAATATGCAAGAAAGAAGTCCAAATTGTGAGATAAAAACAAAACTGCAAGAAAAACTTGCAAAATATAACTTATATTTTGAGTTTTAAAAATTGAAATAAAATGCGATTCTCTCTTCATAGGCATTCAGCCAGCAGCCGCAGCAGCGTGTGAGATTAAAAACTCTTGAAGGTACGATTTTAGCTTGACTTATGATCTTCATCTAAGCCTATTTTCTGTTTATAAAAGCACAGTAGTGACCCTGGACCACAAAACCAGTCATAAGGTTTAATTTTTTGAAATTGAGATGTATACATCATCTGAAAGCTGAATAAATAAGCTTTCCATTGATGTATGGTTTGTTATGATATGATAAAAAATCTAAATATTGAGAAAATCATCTTTAAAGTTGTCCAAATGAAGTTTTTAGCAATGCATATTACTAATCAAAAATTAAGTTTTGATATATTTACAGTAGGAAATTTACAAAATATCTTCATGGAACATGATCTTTACTTAATATCCTAATGATTTTTGGCATAAAAGAAAAATCAATAATTTTGACCCATACAATGTATTGTTGGCTATTGCTACAAATATACCCCAGCGACTTAACACTGCTTCTGTGCTCCAGGGTCACCAGTGTTCAGAAGGTTGCTTTGGAAATGTAATAGGTTACAGATTACAAGTTACCCTATCTAAAATGTAATAAGTTGTGTAACTATTTCAATTACTTTATTAATGTAACTGATTACATTTGATTACGTTTCCAAATTTCTAATGTTTTCAACTGTTAATCTCATTCAAACATTTAAAGCAGGCAGGGTTAACCTTACAGTAGCGCTCAACACTGATTACTGTCACTTTCCAAATCCTTCATCACTTGAATTAAGTTTATAATAATTTAATTTTTAAGCACAGCCACCACAAATCAGACTTTGAGATCGTTCGGAGGTTAAATACAGATTTCCAAAACCATAACAAGAAATAGTTTAGGAGCTATGATACTGTTTTTGAAATCAAATCTTTGCATATTTATGACAGGAAACACTGGCATCTAACCATGCTTTGGGAAAAAAAACAGTTAATCTTAAAAAACAAAGCACATACATAAACCCAAATAGTAAATAAAAGAGTTATTGAATAAGCACGTGTCCTATATTGTGTACTAAACTCCTGAAACATTGGTGTCTCATATTTTAGAGAAGTCAATGCAATTTATGAAAGAAATCAATTAAATCTGTGTGAAAAAATTCAGATGAAACCACCTTTGTAATCGTTAACATTTTCATAAGTAACCGTAATTGAATTACACATTAACTGATTACAATTACATTTATTTTGTAATTACAGTTTTTTTTTCAACTGCTTACACACAAAATATTTACTTGTCACACAATTTCTGAAAGCTGACACTCAGACAGCAGAACCTCACACCAAATCTGCAAAACCATACACTAATTCTCGGCCTTTGACTCAGTTTTCAATTTCATAAAACACTTTTTGCAAAACACAACACACAATTCTCTATGCAACACACAAAAATCTAAGAGGAATTAATATCATGGCAAAGATGTTTGCTTTTGAGATGTGTTTGTGAGGCCTTTTGCATTTTGTGTGTGCAATTTTTGGATTTGCGTGTAAAGTTTTGGAAATGTGTCCAAGCAGTTGAAAAAAAAATCTGTAAATTACAATTTACATAGACGCAAACTTTTTTGAGATCGAAATAGGTCACCTATGAGATTTGCTTGAAAAAACTATGTCTAAAAAAAAAACAGTAATATTTTCCTATTTGAGGTCTGAGATATGGGAACGATGAAGAGAGAAAGGGCAAATATTTTGCATTTTAGGTCAGCATTGCCGTCTAATCAGCCAATATTGTCTTAAATAGCCTGCATAGCACTTCATCTTTAATAACATGGGATTTTGACCAAATATATTCAATCTTGATTGTTGTAAAATGTTTTTTTTTTTTTAGAAAAATTACAGTTTTGGACATAATAAAAATATTTTTAAAAAAATTCCTTAAATGAGCATGTAAAGCAAATATCTTTAAAAGAAATGCCGTGTGGAGCATGCCCCCGATCCATGCACTGTTCTCACCTTTTTTTTCCCCCTTACCGGTTTGCATCTCTGAATTTAGTTACATGTTACTTCCCAAACTGAGGGTCACATATGTGTGTGGGTCAAAGACGAAAAAGGGTTTAAGCATAAAAACAATAAGTGTAATACTGCTTTAAATTGTTGTTGCCTGTGCAAATTTTTTCTGTGCAAAAAATAAATATACATTTTTCCCTGATTTACAGAAGAGACCCACTAAAATGTCATTATTCTTAAATAGCCTGCATAGCACTTCATCTTTAATAACATGGGATTTTGACCAAATATATTCAATCTTGATTGTTGTAAAATGTTTTTTTTTTTTTAGAAAAATTACAGTTTTGGACATAATAAAAATATTTTTAAAAAAATTCCTTAAATGAGCATGTAAAGCAAATATCTTTAAAAGAAATGCCGTGTGGAGCATGCCCCCGATCCATGCACTGTTCTCACCTTTTTTTTCCCCCTTACCGGTTTGCATCTCTGAATTTAGTTACATGTTACTTCCCAAACTGAGGGTCACATATGTGTGTGGGTCAAAGACGAAAAAGGGTTTAAGCATAAAAACAATAAGTGTAATACTGCTTTAAATTGTTGTTGCCTGTGCAAATTTTTTCTGTGCAAAAAATAAATATACATTTTTCCCTGATTTACAGAAAAGACCCACTAAAATGTCATTATAACAATCTTGTCAGGCATATTTATTTACAACAAAAATCAATTTATGACATATTAAAAGACTAATTACTTTCACCCCAAATACTAATTAGTTGTGATTTTACATTTAAAAAATTTGCCACTATCCTAGGTTTTGCCCATTTATCAGTAACATTTGTTTACTCATTTAAAACACAATCAAATTTAATATGCTCCCTTATTCTTTTATATATTTTAATATGTACACGTCAGAATAAGCATGTTGTTTGAATTTTGACATAAATGTTGTGTTACACTGAATGACAATGTAACATTATTTCAACCAAATTTTGACATTTTATTCTCCAAAAATTATTTGAAACCTTAAAAGTAGACACTTCGTTTACATTTAATGTAGGGCTGCACAATTAATCGAATTTCTAATCGCGATTACAATTATGGATGCCACAATTAGGCTACGTAATCGTTCAAAGCGGCAATTAATCGTTCAAAGTCCACTTATGTTATTCTGCGTGCTTAAGATGCTTTATTTCTTTCTACATGTTATCTTAAGGGTTTTTCCATTTGTTTTAATTTTAGTTTTAGTATAACATTATAATACCATTCATATTTTTACTTTTTTTATCATTTAAAGAAGAAACCAATCTGATGTTTAGTTGACATTTGAGGCTTAATACTATAGAAAAGCACTAAAAGTTTTTCATTTAGAGTGTTTTCAGCTTGTTTGTTTTCATATAAAAATACGGCATGCAGTTGCATCAAACAATGGTATGCTACACATCATTCAATGTAAATTGTGATAATAGTAATTAACAATCGCAATTACAATTTCAAGGGAATAATCGTCGATTATGATTTTTGTCATAATCGTGCAACCCTAATTCTATGGACATAAAATCACTTTTGTAAATGTCTTTTGATGCGGACATCTTCACGTCTTTGACCCGTGTGTGATTTTTCCTGTGCAGCCGAGACGACGTACCACTCGCTGGAGGAAGGCATGGTGGAGTACTGCACCACCGAGACGCCGGTGACCGTGACCTCAGAGGCTCCGCTGGAGATGCTGGCGGCGCAGGCCGAGTGCAAACCGCAGGAACTGAAGAGCCGCATAACGCTCAACTCCGCCAAACTGCTGCAGGAGCACCGCGTCACCAACCTGCACGTGCGCGAGATCGCCCAGCACCTGGAGAACCAGAACGACCTGCTGCAGATGATCCGCCGCTCGCAGGAGGCCCAGGCCTGCGCTCAGGAGAGACAAGCCCAGGCTCTGGAGGGAACGCAGGCCGCCCTGCTCGCCCTCATCCAGATGTTCAGACCCGCTCTGAAGGACTTGAGGAAGTTTCTGCAGAACGCCAACAGCCCACACACTGCGCCGCCGGCTGCCGCAGAGACTGGAGAAGGAGTGGAAAACGTGCGGCCGCAGACAGAAGACGCACAATAGAGACCAGTGTGTGTGTGACGTCTGGTCTAGAATAGACTGTAAATTATTGGTGCCTCAAAGAGTTGTGTGTGTGAATGCTTCTGGGATGCAGTGACTTTTATGAGCGTTTTAAAGAAGATTTTTTTTTTGCTTTTGACAATTAAAGTCACTTCCATTTGGTTGCTTAAAAGTCAAGTTGCAAACACATTTAATTTAATTTTTGGTGTGCAATTGACCCTAAAACAAACATGCAAAACCCAAATCTGGATCAGAGACCTACAGAAAACACAATTTCATGAGGAAATCCAGCGGACGGAAGACTTTGTGGAGGCTTTTGTTTCTTTAGCTTTTGAGAATTTGCCATTTTTATTTAAGTGTGCTAAATAAAGAAACTCTCCACACACGTACAAGTCTTCATTTGTGATGTATTGATGCTTGAGCATGTGATCAAAAGTCCTGATGTGTGCCACAGGCTTTAGTGTAAATATGTCCATTTACATTTGCAATTACTTTTGGGTATATTTGTATTTTATTCGAGTACTAAACAAGCTGATTAACTGTACTCGGATATATTTACAGTTGGAAAAACATACATTTACTATTTCATTTAGACCTTTCCACTAATCACCATGGCTTAAATCTTTATGTACTATATCAAGTATTTTTATCACGTTTTTAGAAAAAAGTCATGGAAATGCAATAATGCATTTTTACTTTTGCCTCTGGAGCAAATTGAAAAACAGAATTATATTTCATATAGCAGTTTATTCTACTATAGTTCACTTCTGAGCCATTTTTGTGTGTAATGTACATCTGGTTATTCGTTTAACATTGAGCTTTCAATCCTTGTATTTCGTCCTGCCTGGAAGTTATTTATTGATTGCATTGAATGTGCTCTTAAAAAGGCAGGACTTTGCAATATTTGGCCAATCATGATTTTACTAAGTAAACGTATAGATATAGTTTATTTCCGTACCCCACAGACTGCTGCTGCTGGAAACAAAAGTGCTGGAAATGTGTTGAATTTCACTCTTTAAAATATGTACAAACCCTGTTTAAAGAATTTACAGTTATTATTAGGAGTTTTGATACAGTGTCCCTACCTTAATTAAACAATATAACATAATTTCCCTTTAATTTTCACAGTCACCTAGTGACTTTTTCAATAGAGGGAGACAAAGTGCGCCATATTTCATCTCCATACTTATACTTTTGACATGGAGAAATTAGCTTTTTTCCTTAATTTCTTGGATATATGTAATTTTGTGTTCACTCTGAAATACTAAAGTATTTTAATATAGACCGATATCAGTGTAATCGTATGTTCAAGTACTTTTAATAATAAAATAGCCAATAAAAATGTTTAATATATAAGTAATTTTTAAAAATATATAAGTAAATGATTAAGACTATATATATACTGCTACGTGTACTGTGTTAGACTAACTGAGACTTCTTATAGCACTTGTATATCATTGCTCTTTTGTTGATTTTGATTGCTTCCGTTGTCCTCATTTGTAAGTCGCTTTGGATAAAATAATGTCTGCTAAATGACTAAATGTAAAATATATAGCAGTCAAAAGTTTTTGAACAGTAAGTTTTTTAAAGACGTTTCGTCTGCTCACCTGGCCTGCATTTATTTGATCCAAAGTACAGCAAAAACGGCAATATTTTGAAATATTTTGCCTATTTGTTTTCTATGTGAATATATTTTAAAATGTAATTTATTGTTGTGATTTCAAAGCTGAATTTTTAGCATCATTACTCCAGTCACATGATCCTTTAGAAATCATTCTAATATTCTGATTTGCTGCTCAAAAAACATTTATTATTATTATGTTGAAAACAGCTGAGTATACATTTTTTCAGGTTTCTTTAATGAAAGTTCAGAAGAGCAGCATTGATCTGAAATAGAAATATTTTGTAACATTCTAAATGTCTTTTGATCAATTTAAAGCATCCTTGCTAAATAAAAGTATTAATTTCTATAATTTCCTTCCAACTGACTCCAAGCTTTTGAATGGTATAGTGTATAAAATTACAAAAGCTTTTTATTTCAGATAAATGCTGATCTTGGGATCTTTCTATTCATCAAAGAATCCTGAAGAAAAATGTACTCAACTGTTTTAAATATTGATAATAATAATAATAATAAAAATGTTTCTTGAACGGCAAATCAGCATATTAGAATGATTTCTGAAGATCATGCGACACTGAAGACTGGTGTTATGATGCTGAAAATTCAGCTTTGATCACAGAAATAAATTACAATTTAACAGATATTCACATAGAAAACTGTTATTTTAAATATTAAAAATATTTCACAATATTACTGCTTTTGCTGTATTTTGGATCAAATAAATGCAGCCTTGGTGAGCAGAAGAGACTTCTTTAAAAAACATTAAAAATCTTACTGTTCAAAAACGTTTGAATATATAGCCTATATATTGTATATGTATATATTGTGTGTGTGTATATATATATATATATATTTATATACCAGAATCAGCTTTATTCGTCAGGTGTGCGCAAACACACGAGGAATTTGTTGTGTTTTTTTAAGGTGCTCCTGGTACATACATATACACACACATCTGACATGAGAACAGAAAATAGTAAATAGTAAGACTTAACAATAAATAATAATAATAATAATAATGTGTATGAATATGGAACAGTAGATTTATGTAGATTTGTGCATTATTTACTCTATATACAGCTGTATAAATAAAAACAATACAACCTTTATAAATTATACTTAAAGCTTTTATCATTGGCAATATTAAAATGATCACTGACCGGAGATCAGTGTGTGTGTGTGAGAGAGAGAGAGAGGAAAAGGGGCGGAGCTTCACAATCCCTATAGAGAATATAAACAAACTGATCCGCGGAGTCGCGGACAGAATCTCACCTCATCCAAACACAGGAGACAGAAACACTGAGGACATGATTGTGTCACTCGATTAATGTTAATGCTGCTAATATTTCAGAGCTGGAGAGTTTATTACGCTGCACGACGATCGGTGAGAAAATCCGACGGGTGCGTGAACTGAACAAACCTGACAGGAACTTACAAACGCTTTTTTTCTAAATACAACGAATCATATAGGCAACTCAATGTAGACGTGTATCGATTTGATGATTTTTTAAAATGTTTATATGTTCTCACGTTAGTTGTGATATGTGTTTTCCCCCCCTCAGATGATCAAACATGATCCGCAGAGAGAGCTTCTTCCACAGCCAGATGAAACCGTTAACAGCGTTCAGTTCAAACATTAGACTTCACTAGAGAATTAAACCGTCTCAAGCTCGAGTTCATGGCGTTTCTCGTCAAGAAGAAGAAGTTTAAGTTTCAGACTCATGTTACTCTGGAGGAGCTGACAGCCGTGCCTTTTGTCAATGGAGTTTTGTTCTGTAAGATCAGACTGCTGGATGGAGGAGATTTCACTGCTTCATCATCCAGGTAAATCACCTCTTCATCATCATCATCATCATTTGTGAACGCTTTATTTGTTTATTTATGTAATTCTGGATGCTCTCACTGACATCTGATAGTGTCAGATATTAATACTGTATTCATGCAACATGCTGCTCCAAAGTATTAAACCTGCAAAAAGTTCTGAAAAGTACCAGGAAACTTTTTCTTTTTAATGTAAAACCATGGTACATTAATGTCTGTGCTATAGTAATGCAATCTGATGCCTTGTATTGCTAGCACTGTACCACGGTACCACCACAGTGCTTTTATAAGGTATATGGTAAAAATAAATAGCAGTACTATGGTCTTGTCTTAAAATGATGCTACTACCGTGGTACTTGTTGCTCTGCAGCTTTAAAATGAAAAGTTCTTTGCTTTAAATTCAGTAGGACCTTCTTGCAGTGTTTTTTAGCGTATTTGAGATGTTCTATTTTTGAGTCATATTTTGGATTATTCTTTATTTTTATATTTCCTGTTTTCATTTTCAAGTTTTAGTATTTTTTTGGTTTGTTTTTGTCTTTTATTAGTTTTGTTTTTTACACATAAAAAAGATTTTTTCATCAGTTAAACTGAAAATGAGAAATGTTGCTTTGGCAACTAGCTAAAATAGTAAAATAAAATAAAAAATATTGTCAGTTAATGTTTATTTAATTTCAAGTAATAAAATTATTTATTTATTGTTTACTGTAATAACTCTGCCCTCTCGTAATTGTCAAGAAGCATTTTTTATTTTATTTTTTGGCTGTGGGATTTTGGAGTATTTGGTTCTAGAAAATTAAAACACTTTTTATTACATATTAGGTTCTTCTGACCATTGATTTGATTCTAAAGGAACACTGCTAGAGTGTTGTGATTGGTTGCCGGGAGTTGCTATTAATGATTTATTTCTCAGTTAAAGTCCATCAGTTGAGTCTCTGCTGTTTGAGACGGTTGCATGAGGATGTTGATCGTGACCTGTGATCAGAGGGAAGTGAAGACAGGCTCACATGTACAAGATCATTTCCAGATGCAGTGTCTGTTGAATTGTTGTACTTTGTTGTTTTTGTAGTCTGATACTGCTGTCTATATGTTTCACTTCATCCTTTAATAGTGTCATTATGAGCTCCATCATGGATTTGTCTGTGTAATCTAGATATTGCATTTTATCGTTGTCCTTCGTTTTTACTCATGACTCAAATGCTGTAGTCTTTCAAACATAAACATAAACTCTCACATTACAGAAACACTGAGTTCCGGTTTCCTATAATCGTAAGTAAAGTCAGTCTTAAACTATGCATAGTCGATATTTGAGTGTGATTTACAGCTCGGCTGTTGTTTTCCAGGCTGTCCCGGTGTCTTTTCTCCTCTTTGCTCATTGCACTCTGAGAATAACAGGAAAGACTCACTCACTGTCCTCCACATCAGTTGTTGTATCATACAGCAGTTTTTTCCATCCGTGCATCCCGGTGTTTCACTGCAGGAGTTTTGTGTTGCAAGTTGTGCTATTCTTTGCAATAACATGCTCTGATAAATCATTTGCATTTAAAGGAATAGTGAAAAAGAAAGAAAACTGCTGAAAGTGTGCTCACCCTCAGGTCATTCAAGATGTAGACGAGTTTGTTTCTAAATCAGATTTGGAGAAATGTAGCATTGCATCACTTGCTCAGCAATGGATGCTCTGCAGTGAATGGGTGCCGTCAGAATGAGAGTCCAAACAGCTGATAAAAACATCACAATAATCCACAAATAATCCACAACACTCCAGTCCATCAGTTAATGTCTTGTGAAGCCAAAAGCTGCCTGTTTGTAAGAGACAAATCCATCAAGACATGTTAACTTCAGTCAGGAGAGAAATCTGCACAGATCAAACAATGTTTACAAGCCAAAAGTCCAAAACAACTCTAAACAAATATGTGGGTGGATTTTGAAGTGAGAGACGACAGAACTTTTTCACTGTCGTATTTTAGCCGGAAGCCACAGTTTAAAACATCTTAATGATGGATTTATTTCTTACAAACGCACAGTTTTTGGCTTCACAAGATGTAAACTGATGGACTGGAGTGGTGTGGATTATTGTGATGTTTTTATCAGCTGTTTGGACTCTCATTCTGACGGCACCCATTCACTGCAGAGCATCCATGGGTGAGCAAGTGATGCAATGCTGCATTTCTCCAAATCTGATGAAGAAACAAACTCATTTATATCTTGAATGACCTGAGGTGGAGCAAATGTGCATTTTTGAGGTTAACTATTTCTTTAAGGCCAGGAATATGCTTTAAAGTAATTTTGATTTCATGTTGACAGATCTGTTTCTAGCTGTTCAGTTTATGAGAGAACCAGTGCCAGACCACAAGCTCTTAAAGGTCTCATTTATTTCTTTTTAACATTCTCATTCAAGTCACACACGTTCTCCTGTCTCCCACCCTTCAAACACACACACACACACACCTCCCTCAGCACATAAACCGCTTTTGTTTCAGTGGAGTCCTGGGTTGGTTGGCTGGAGGAAGTCAAATGGCAGCGCATGGAGACAGTAGACGGACAGAGACGTCAGTGAACATGAGTGAGAGGAGGTTCACAGATCAGACTGTAGTTTGTCTCACTCACTTTGAGCCTGTTGGGTTCATCATCCTGCTGTTTGCTTATCTAGATTTTGAGGATTGCAGGATATTGTTGAAATGCAAAAAGAAACATCAGAAACGGAAAGTTGCTTTTTGTTTTGCAGGAAGTTTGGTGCTAAATGTGGTGTTTGGTTTCACACGGTTTCAGACAGATGACAAGAACAGGAGGAATGAGGCCATCACTCGCAACCCAGCAATAAATTAGACGTCTGACCCAATTTTATTGCTGGGTGATTTGACTAGTATAATTATTCATATAATTCATTTCAGTTCAGTTTCAATAAATCAATTCAGAACTCAATGATTTACTCCAGAATATTTGCAGAAGTGCCTGCATAGCATTTTTCATCAATTAAAATTTTTAGTAGCAATATATGGAGATAAAGAATGCTGTTTATGGCTATGAATGGTTATATTGGTGCAAATTAATGTAAATGATTAACTATAATCCTTCCTTCTGTCCATTTAGTGAAAAAAGGGTAGAAAACATTCCCTGATTTATTTTTAGGCATTTTAGTGTTTTTAGTTTTTTTTTTCCCCAGCATTTATTCAAACTATCAAAGTTACTAGTCAAAAGTGGCCGTTTTATTTTATTTATATATATATGTGTGACCCTGGACCACAAAACCAGTCTTAAGTGTCAGTTTTTCAAAATTGAGATTTATACATCATCTGAAAGCTGAATAAATAAGCTTTAGCATAAACTAAAAATGAACTAAAAATTTCTTTAAAGAAATGGTAAATTCTTGCATGCAACACACACACACAAAAACTTTTGTGTTGCTTTTTATGTTCTGCCAAGATAGCCATGCATATATATGATTAAATGTTAAATACAAAACACCTATAGTTAAAAAAAAAAATCAAGGAAGGTTATCTTTATCACTTTTTTCCACTAAACAGACACAAAGAACAATTGTAGTTAATCATTTTCATTCACTTGCACCAATATAACAATTCATAGCCATAAACAGCATTCTTTCTCTCCATACATTGCTTCTAAAAACATATGCATGAAATACATTAAAAATGCCTTCTTCTGTAAACATGTTTGGAGTAAATCATTGATTTCTGAATCGATTTATTTAAGCTGAACTGATTTGTGGAAATGTATTGAACTCTTAACACAACCATTTTTGCTGCTAAAGTTTAAATGAGAGCTGCAAATAAATGCCTACAGCATAGTTTTTCAGATGAGCTTCTATGATGTATTCTTCAGAATGTATTTCTACAACAGTATCAAGTGTGATTCAAAAGAGCAAGACGAATGCTGTGACTCCTTTAAATAGTGTTGGACCTATTTTTCAATAGCTATACATTTTATCGAAATACTTACCTGACACACAAATGCAGATTGTTATTTATAGAAATGCAGTATTTTCCAACCCATGAATAGTAGTTTCTCATAGGAAGTTGGGTGGGCCGAATTTTCGTTAAGCAGCCTTATAATTAGGAGGGTTTGGCCTGTGGTTCAATTAAAAGCATCTTGTTCCGCTTACGCCTGTGTGAGCGCTGGGACAGTATGGATTTAGAAGGTTTACTAATTTTGTGCATTGACCACAACACTGAAACAGCTGATATTTATAGCAGATTCTTCTCAGTTATGTAACCGAAACCTCTCAGTTTGTATTTACTGTCATTCGTAATCATCAGCTTCTGCGCTGAAAGTGTCCAGCCACACGCCTCATGTTTGATTCACGATTCACAAGCAGAATTTACTCTATTTACTACAGAATTTATCATATTCGAAGAAATGTGGCTGTCCATGTTGCTTGGATGCTTTTTTTGTTCTTTCCATAAAAAGCAACATAAAATTGGTCCGTATGACTTCAAAATATCTGTTTTTTGTGTTGCATGCATGCATGCATGCATGCAAAAAAAAAAAAGTTATATGATTTTTGGATTGACTTGAGAGTGAATAAATGTTGAATTTTCATTTCACTGTTTCTTTAAAGAAAGAAGTTAATTTTCAGTTCATGCAACCAACATTTTTTGGTTAATGATGATTTGCTTTACTCTGCTTGCAGGCTTAAAGTTTTGTAAGTAGTGCTATTCATTGTTATAGGTTGAAAACGTTTTACTTAGTGCAACTTTAGTTTTTGGGCTTTTAGATGATGAAAGGAATTTTTCAAAGTTGTTTGGACGTCTTTTCTAAAAAGCAGCATAACTATCTGTGGTTTTAGAGCAGGTCTGCTGTGCTGCTGTTCTTGAAAGGTTAACCATAGAAAGCACAAACCAGCCTTTTGCCACATGTTTTCCTCTAATGTGTGAAACCTGCGTGTTTTTCTCCTGACAGGCTGTAGTTCAGTTTAATCACAGGTTCAGAAATACAAGCTGCTTCTGTTACAGGTACTCGTGATCACAGCGCATCAAAGATGAACCATT